TGCGGATCGACACATAGGTCCTGCTCTGACATGGGGAGTATGGGAAGTCTCGAGAGGGGGGGGCGCCCGGCCGTCCCCCTCCCTGGATCCGCCACTGGTAGGGAGTCGCTACTCGCTACCCATTCCCTTTGGCGCCGCGACGACAACATTTGGCAAGCACGTGCCTCTCGACGCGACCCGAGCGTGCCCCCGAGGCGTGCTCTGGGAGCTCGTTAGGCGCGTGAATTCCGCCGCTGCCCCTCCCCCCTCATAGAATTAAATCATGATCATGATGCAAATAAGCAGAACGGTAGCATTCGAGCCGGGAGTTCCGTTGCTCGTGATTCATATCTTTTTAATAGGAATGGATTAGGTACTGATTGCCAGATTGATTTCTATCTGCGCTATCCGAGCTCGCTCCATTTAATCGTGCAGGTAATTACTCGTCGTTGTGAGACCGCGCGGCGTCGCAATCAGGAGCCGTTAGCCTTCTCTCCAGATTCGGTAACGTTCCGTCGCAGAGGCAATTTCGCTAATGATGGCCCGGGGAGGAATTTGGTGTCGAGTGCGCGTAGTGTGAAGTCACTCATGCTCTAATGGTTTCGAAGGACCGACGAGCAGAAATCGTCGCTTGGACTAGCAGAGATTCGGGAATAGTTTCACTCCAAAACTAATACATGGTACCCGCCGCATCCGGAGGAGTAGATTAGCGCAATGTGAGACTTTCTCTTTGAAATCGACGGTCCCCATTCCGACTCCGAACGTTTGGCGTCAGAATTCCCACTCCGAACATTTAGCGTCAGAGTTCCCACTCCGGCGTGGACGCCTAGGTGGAAGAGCCTACGAACCTCTCTGAATGAATCACGGGGACAGACTTCCGAGCGTTTGCTGGCAGCTCCAAGTTTCGTGAAGCCCGCAAGGCGCCATCGGTACCTCGTCGACGGACACCCGCCGGGAGCCATCGCATAAATCCCTTGTGAGCATCGCATATTGCGATGATTAGTCGAAGGAATCGTTTTGATTTATGCACACGCCACGACCTCTCACCATCATAAAGTGACGGAAGACCGAACATATGTAGCTGCGCTCGGAATTCTCCGGTCTTTTCATCATCGAACGCAACGGATCCCAACGAGACACATCGGCCGCGAATCATGCTCGCTGCCAGCGGAGCGATTAACAATTTCCGTCCAATGAACCGGATTGAAAACGAAGCCGGACATCTTCAAACCACCCAAGGGAAGCGTGAAGTAATGGCCGCGAATCAAGACGGTC